GAGGATGTTCACCCACATGTAGAGAGAAACGTGCTGGTGTCCATTGATCACCATTAACAATTGTTCGTAGAGTTCGTTCTTGGCCCTGGAACTACCGTAACATTAACAAGGGCAACCGACAAAATTGTGCTTGTCAGTACGTCGACGAACTCTGTGTCTCACATAGACGGTCCTCTAGGCAGAACTATTAGGTTTTGGCTGCCGATGAGCTACAAGTTGCCCGGCTTGCACGCCGATCTCTTGACTCCGGACGCGAGGATGTGGAGTTCAGATACACTTGGCACGGTGCGAACTGGAGCCAATCGACCCTTTGAGAATACACCACCATCATCACATTTCTTTCACGTAAACTATGGCGTGAGACTGTCATGAAGCGAGAAAACTTGCACATGTTCCTCCAAGACAGATCCACACAAAATGTCTCCTCAGAACTTAAGCAGTGTTCCGACTGACAAACGGCCTTACGCGACATAGCACGGGTACAAATTCTCCCCCCGACGAATCCAACACAAATCGCCCCGTCTCGCTCGCAAAAAACTTGATAGGTTCCAAAGACGCTACGAAGCTCTTGTCCGGCCAGTGGGTCAAATTAAAAACGCCCCCTAAGCCAGAACCCCTACCCAACACGCGAAGTACAGCAGCAGCATCATCATCATCAGCTGTTGCCACAATTCAGTCACAAGGCAGGGGGTTGAAGACAAGGCAAGGAAAAAAGGCCCATCTTCAGCAATCAAGGGTCCTACGTTTGTGTGCCCAAGAAACACATAACGAACACAATACCGTGCGGGCCAATGTAATCTCAGACGTTTCCCCGCACCCTGGCACAGACAACACTCACAAGAAAGAAAACAAACACGCGTTTAGCAGCTTCTTCCACACGCTCCAAGAGCGTACCAGAAGAAGTCAAACAGTTTGGTGTACAACGTCAACCACCATGTTGGATAAACCGGGTAGGCCGAAGCTTGTAGGTTTGTGGAGAAAGGCTACTCGGCCGGTGAGGGCCGAGATGGGAAAGTCTTGTATTAGAGGGAAGAGGGAACAGCAGAGAACACAAGAGAGCGAGGAACCGAAGAGAGCATCACCACACCTATCCGTCACGCAATTCAGATCACTCATCGAATCTCCGAAGAAACCAAGCAGAAACTCCCTGTTCCTCCGCAATCTACCAACTGCAATCTCCGTAGATCCATGCCCCATATTCAACCGCATTTACTATGCTACGAGTATATCTAACAGCCCCCCTGCTCGTATGCATCGTAATGACACGGCAAGTCAATATAATTCCATTTACTTCCCAAACGTAGATCCTACTCCTCCATGACACACAAATAACCAAGAACTCGATGATGCAAATTTTCCTGAACTCACCACGTCTTGTCTCATCGCCTTCATTCCTTCTCTGAAAAACGCTCTTCTTCTGGTCCATCCTTTCTCAGTACAACGTCACCCGCAAAGTACTAATATCCCCCGCACAACCGAAGCATTAAACAATCCATCGAACCAAACCTATCTGTGACACTCGTCATTACGTCCACTTTCGAAAACACGGATCAATTCGTAGAAATTCGCCTTCGTTGTGCTTCCAGTACATCCATCCATCCGTCTACAAATCCTACAAAGACAACACAAATTTCGCAAAAATAGAAGTAAGTATGAACATGCCCATTTGCAGGTAAAACGCAGCTGGGTATGGTATGGATCCTTTTTTACTCTCACATGTCCGATCAAACAACATCCATCCTCAAACATTCGTTCAGCGTGAAGATCATTTGCGCAGAAAATACGTGAGTATTCCTATTGTGTCTCTCTAGAAACCTAGTACCACCTACAGGTAAATACCTTCCGAAAGAACAACGCGCCCCCCTGCTCTGGGAGATTCGCCCCCGTGAGTTTAGAAGGGGTTGGAGTCTGAACCATAGAACAAAAGAACAACATTTAATGTTCATCCAGTCGAAACCCAAGAAAAACAATCCTCCTGCAAATAAATCCCGACGAACACCAAAACCAAATCAAATTCAATGCCAAAACATATAATCCAATCCAGTACCAAAACAGAACATTCGAAAACCCTTCAATTCAATACCAAAACAATCAACACTCGAAAATCCTCCAATTCAATACCAAAACAATAACACTCGAAACTCCTACATTTGCCCGCCCATCAAGCTCCAGCGCTAACCCATTGCCCAAGCCATTGTTTCTCTCCCCCCAGCGGGATATTTCGCACGCCTTCGCCGCGGTCGCCTTCCGTCTTTCATCTTTTCCGGCTGGCCGCGACTCGAGCTTGGATGTTTGCGTCCGCCTGACGTGGGGGAAGAACATTTGTCGCTCCCGGAGGATTGACTCGGCGGTGGTGCAGGGCAGGTCGCGCGTTTGGAGAAGATGGCGGCAGATTAGTTCCGAACAAACCAGCACTACTGAAGAGAATCACATACTACCAACATTCCCCCCGGTTCTGCACAGTAGTGACTGCAGCAGAAAAAACAATTAAATGAAATACACTTTCAAGTCGTCGGACCCTACTTGTGCAATGTTTGTCTGAAATTACCGATCACTGCGACATTGCAATTCAATACATAGATACCTGAATATCATCCTGAAACGGAGGTTGATTAGTCCTCTATCACAAAATCATAATTCAGCCGCTGCTCCTGTTCCAAACAAAGGGTAATCAATCCTAAGTCGAAACTTTCACAACTTTGGAATCGCAATCTCATAACAAATAGCAACCTCAAGACAACGTATAACAATATTCGGAAATCAGCATTTATTTCGTCAATATTGTGGATTTTTAATCTGCAACAAGGTGGATGTACCAATCAATGTTGCACGTCGCTGAGACTTCACACGTCTGTGGTACTCGCTAACACAACCAAGACATGAAAAGTTTTTGATCAGGTTAAACCTGCTACCGAAAGAAAGTCCAGATAAAACGTTGATCACGAATTTTTGATCAGGCTAAACCTGCTGCTCAAAAAGTAGCTACCAAAAAGAGCCCAGATAAAACGTTGATCACGTTGTTGCCGGCGAGAGAAAGTTGGTCTCAGCACGGCTGTCAGGAAGACAAAGCACAAAACCTCGCCAATCACTGCATTACAATGCGCACAATACTATTTCTAATACCATGCTACACGCACACACAATATCATCAGTTTAGAAACTGGCATCAGTTTTTGAGGATTACTGGTAACCTGGATTGTGTCTACCCATTTGCTACAGGTAGTCGGCCTTTGACCGAGTGGTGGAGTTTGACGGCTGTACCACACGACGTATTGTCGCGTTTTGATTGAGCAAGTGTTGGTGTTTGACGGCTTTACCGCGCAGCGTGTTGCCGCGATTATTCTAGAGAAAGAGTTGGAGAGAGAGTTTGACGGCAGTACCGGGTGGAGGTGGAGTTGGAGTAAGCGTTGGTGTTTGACGGCAGTACCGCACGGCGTAATACCGCGTTTAGAATCTGACGGCACTATGTAGGTAGGCGTACCGCATCACCGCATGGATGGGTGTGTGTACACATAACGACAGCAGTCGAAAACTGACAAGTCATCACGTGCCTGTTCATGCCTACAAGCCCAGTAGACGGCGGGCTTCAGCTAACGATGGCGCTGCTGTAGGTCTTGGGAGCGCTGCTGTAGGTCTTGTGGGTGCTGCTGCTGTGCAGGCCCTCGCCGCTGTTGGCCTCTTCGTCTGGTTGGATGTCGTCAGCCGCGCATGCGGCTGCCCATCGGTGCTACCCAATCACCCTCGACAAAGTCGTTAGCGCTAGCGTGTTGGATAAACCGGGTAGGCCGAAGCTTGTAGGTTTGTGGAGAAAGGCTACTCGGCCGGTGAGGGCCGAGATGGGAAAGTCTTGTATTAGAGGGAAGAGGGAACAGCAGAGAACACAAGAGAGCGAGGAACCGAAGAGAGCATCACCACACCTATCCGTCACGCAATTCAGATCACTCATCGAATCTCCGAAGAAACCAAGCAGAAACTCCCTGTTCCTCCGCAATCTACCAACTGCAATCTCCGTAGATCCATGCCCCATATTCAACCGCATTTACTATGCTACGAGTATATCTAACACACCAGGTGAAGTGAAACAACGCTAAAACCTCCTTGGCCGCCTGGGGTCCGTATGTGACGTCCCTGTTTCGGCAGCTCATCATCAGGAATTTCAACGCGCAAGTACGCACGCATTCTCTGCCCCTCGTGATGCAAAACCCCTACCTTTCCATCCTTTCTCCATATCATCACAAAGAGAACCCTTTCGAGCACCCACCCGCACCCGACATCGATATAGAAAATATTTAGTACGTTCACATAACCCTCCTATCAGAACGCCGTGCTTTGATGTAGAACGTACGTATGTGTGCACACCGGACGATGCTGTTGCGTTTCGTTTTCACCTCACCGGCATGATCCTGATTGGCACATGAAGCTACTGTGCATGTTTTCTTTGTCCCAGTAGCAAGCCCCCCGTAAGAGAAACACTCTCTCCGGCCGCCCGCTCCCGAAATACAGTTATCACTCGAGTCCAACAGAAGCTACTCTTTGAACTATAGTACACGAAGAAAATAATATATTGCTGTGTCATCCTTAGCACATCACAACATTGTGGACTATCACAAGCTGCACGGTTCGCTTGCCAGCATCCCACGCCATGTAGGGTTGCGCGATGGTTCCGTACATGCAATATTTCGCCTTGCTAATCCTACGGATATATCTGCTTGGTTGGTAATTCTGGATGCGGTGTGTTTGACCCGCAAAGCAAGTGCGCACCGTAGTAGCTCTCGCGCAACTGCTGTGCAACAGAGCTCCCGAAGTCAAGAGTAAGGAGGAGGTGTTGCTCGCGTGGTCTAGTCCCCTTCCTTACGACGGAGCATCGTGTGCCTTCGCTCGGCTCCTTTCCTCAACTCGCTTCAGAGGTATGGCAGGCATGGTATCATGGGAGCCAGCCCTCAAGGGCTGCTGCCGTCATGGAATAAGTCTCGCCACAACTGGTCGGTGCGTGTACTCCGTTAAGGCTCGCTGCCGCCTTCCCCCTCCCTCGCCTCTCTCGTTTGAAAGCTGGGCTGGCGCTGAAGTTGATCCTTACCAACAGCAAGAGGTGAAGAAGAACCGTCTCGGTTTCTGTTGCTGCTGCTGCCGTCGGATCTGTCCTGGTGCATGCCCATGGCCTTCTTGGGGGGGCGGGAGAGCACCTGTCACCGCACGACGAAAGAGCCACGGCAGGTGCCGATATCACGCAGCAAATATGGGTGGCGGAATGAGAGCGCAGAACATGATGCCGGAAACGACTGTGGTGCGAGAAAACAACGGTCGTTATCGACGACGACAGCGCTTGATACGAGAGACGCCGCAAAAGAACTACGGCAATAAAGGTGATGCAAGTGAAACCCGAACGTTATCGTTACGGGAGGCAACTGTGTGTACGCTGTGTTGTTGTTATCCCGACCATATATGTGCTCCGTACCTTTCCTTCTCCGCCTGAAACTTCTCCAAGACTCTTGTAGCGTTACAAAGCGAAACAGCGAATTAATGGGTTTGAAATCTCAACGAGTGGCAAAGCTGCTTTCTTTTGTAGTCGCCCGGGAATGTGTGCCCTCAAGCAATGCGGTCACGTATAGCCAAACTAATATGTCGTGCACAAAATTTGGTGCACAAAACGACGACGCACATCCGGGTGCTATGATGGTTGCGTCTAACCAACGTAGTATGGGAGAGATCCGGAATATACACAACGATGCCTGTGTGAGGTGAAGAACGGATATCGCGTGAACCGCTGTTCTTAAGTTACCTCTTGAATGCTGTACCCGTCGGGTACGAAGCAGAACCTTTGCCTCCCAGTGACGGCGGCAGCCGGATTGAGGCGATTGGCAGCCCGAGCAAGGCGCCCGGGGTTTGGCTCGCTCAGGCTTTTCTCAAGCACGGTGTAGGCCTCTTGAGACACCTTTAGCAAGACACGAACGGTCGGTGTGGTACACGAGGACAAATATCGCGATGGTTCCGACGTTGTTCCAAAAAACTCCCATGCGGATAGGATTGATGGTGGATTGTGTACAATTTCATGCAAAACCAAAAGGCACGGGGGCGTAGACGCTCCGCTGCGTGAGACCGTGAGCTGGCGAGAAGGGCGGGGATGGATGTGTTCATGCCAATGGTTTGTCATGTGCAACTATCGGAAGCTCTACAGCAAGGTGGGCATGGTAAGCACCTTTGTGTCGAACTTTCTGGCGAACAAAGCGCCACTGTCCATGGCGACGTTGACGTTACCACTCGCACCACCCGTGATGGGATCCGGGTGCAATACATAGTGGCCCTCAATCACATCAGGCCACGATACGAAACGAAGATTGTCCTGTGGGCAACACGACAGAGTGGGAGCTCAAATTAAGAAATTAAGCATACCAAGCAGTCAAGCACCGCAAGTGGCACGCTTAAAACGGCAGGATAACAACAAGACTGGGCACTCGGCGACGTACCGTGTGGCAAGCTGCACGACAACCGTTTGATAGCCAAGCACACGATCGGTGCCTTCTCTGCCTGTACGTTTTTATTTCTTCGGTCGAAAGTCCTGTGTGGTCACGGCCGGTGCTTCCTAAAACATCCGCGAAGGTGTACAAAAAAACGAAATTGGAAGCACATGGCGGTGATACGCACACACGCAAATGCTTTCTCTGGTATTTCATCCCGCTCCAAGGCTGACGTATTGTTCATTGGTCAGCGCGGTGGAAACTATTCAAAGAAACACACACACATGCTTGGCCATCATTTGTATTAACAACGTAGCTACCCCGTTGTTTGCCGTGTTAACCTTACCGGGTGAACAAGGAAGCTCGGCGCCAGAGGATGGCAAAGCACGGTCTGGAAATAGCTCTCGTCGGAAATGCGGAACTTCGAGAAGTATGCCTGCAATCAAGGATATTGTTTGGTGTTAGATACAAGCAATGTTGAGTTTAACATCGATCTCGGGGTTTACTTGATTGTCGGTATTGATTGGTAGAGGCCTTCGGAGAAGGCTCCAGCTTCTCGTTAGACAGATGCGCCGAGAGGAGCACATCACGTGAGACCACACTGAGCGGTAACCCGCGTCGTTGTACTCCGATTCTGCACAGCCTCTGTCCGCTTTGGATAGGTGCTCTCTGGGGAGGCTAACACTTGTTCGATACCATTTGCAACCTTCTTGAATTCAGAACCACGGTTTCCGTGTATATCGAGTGACGATGCTCCCTTTCTATTGCCCTTAGTGCCGCAACCATTGTTTCGCACTGCATCCAAACAAGTTCTGACGAGACTAAGGTGATTTTCTTTGCGTTGGTCAACGGCGAAAGAACAGGTTGTCACCTGCAGTGAGCGAGCGACGTTGTCTGGTGACGCCTCAAGGTATTGGCAGAAAGAGCGGTGAAGGATAACCCAGAACTCTCCTGCAAATTGAGAATAGTCAGGATAGGGCAAGAGCCAGGGGTCAACACATGAGGCATGCAGAGGCCAAATTTTTTCCTTGGCTTTCCGGGTTGCAGCCGCTCAAATACTATTCCAACCGAGATTTGGATATCAATGTCAGCTTACCGACAATTGAATAGTGAAACTAGAGGAATAGTGAAACTAGAGGTGAACTGAATTCTTCATTTTCTCAATTACCCCCCAGTTGGACGGCGAACAAAACACTGCAAGGCACTAGCTAGGGAACACCAGCGCCACCAACGGCAACAACCACAACCGATACCATACCACAACCGCCAACAGCAACAAGAACACTTCTTTCCGTGCCTCGTACATATTGTTCCCGCAAGCCTTTTTTAACCGGTGAGTACTTGTAGGGGGTGATGCGTTGAGCTACAACATCTAAGGGGCTCTCTAATGACACGAAATCCCGCCTTCCCTCACCCCTGCTCTATATTAATGGTCGCGCTGTTTTTCGTCGCTTACCTTTATAGACGGTGAACATGGACTTGCTCGGGGGAAGTCGAGCCTTGCCGACCTTGAGGGGCCTGCCTGCCTTTGACGACTGAAAAGTCGCGAAAGCAAGCGAGCAAGCATCACAACCCGTCAAAGCAGAAGAACGTAGGAAGGGAGGGTTGAGCACGCGCTCATTCAATTGTTCAGTAATTTCTCGGCTCAAGCTATCACCATAGGTACACGAACCGTTTTAGCGAAGTTTCTGGCCTGACCTCGGTTCTCCGCAAATTGTCTGCATTGCCATTTTCATCCCAAGTTCATCATCGTGTGAGAACAAGATCAGACCATCCTCAGAGGGAAGCCGCCTCCTCGGTAACAATTGTGCACAATATCGCGTACGTAAGTAATTCTTTATTGCAACTCGTTAACAGCTTCCATCTAAGGTAATAATTACTCAACATCCCTTTTAGGTGTGGTCTGGCGTAAACCTTGTGCAACGTGTGATGGATGATAGCAACGTACCTGAACTTTGGACATCTTCTTGATCGCGTGTGTCAAATCTGGTCGTTGTTGCGTTGTGTTGTGTTCGTCATGTTCATGTTTCATGGCTATCAAAGATGAGACGGTCCTCCGTACACGGAATTTAACTAGTCCTAACCTCCTCACCTGCTTTTCCCGGTAGAGGCCCTGATCGTCGATGAGCACCTCTACCCTGTTCCTCTCGTTGAGGGGTTCTCCTGAAACGAAGTTCATGCCCACATCCGCGTACTTGCCCAACACGGTAGTCAGTTCGGACTGTTGGGCAAGGCCCGATACCACGTGTTAAGAGAGAGCATGGAGAGGCACAGTAGTATCAGCCGGTGGTCTAGTCCAGATGAACTCGGCTGCAGGATATATCGTTGGAAATAAGGTGCACCTGAAACGTACTCGAATTTGCTGTTTCTTTTCTGCTATCTTACACAGTCAAACAAGGTATCACAGGACTGATGGCACAAACAGCCTTGCAGTGAGAACGTCGATTCACACGTGGTCGCAGAGCTCTCCAGCGTACGGGTTTGGAGAAAAACAGACTAAACTTACATGTGAACATTCCTATTGGGCACTGTGTGAATGCTGATCCATCAAACAAATTATCCGGCATGCTCAAACAATAACCTAGAGTCTCACTCAGAAGGGTTCTTTTGAAAGTCAGCAATAAGCAACACGCTACGGTGGGCACCCTAGGTCGTGGAGAATAGAACATCTTTGTTGTGCAATAGAACAGGTTGGTTTTCAAAGGGAGCAAGAACAACATTAAACAGTGCGTGGGGAAAACAGGCAAAGAGATTCCACCTCCAGGCAAAACACACGGTCAGGTGAAGCATTCTTTGAAGGCAACGAGGAGTCTAATCGAGAGTTCAAAACCTGACATTCTGAGGGTCTCACCTGAGGAAGAAGCGGGAAATCTGAAGCAGAAAGGTTGATGAAAAAGTCCCACTCGTCATTCCATTGCACCATGGTGCATATGCCGAAAATGGCGGTGAGAGTGATGGTGTAGCCGCCCCACGACACGTCCAGAGCGGGTTCAAGCATCCTGAAACACGTTGTGTTGGTATCATGTACACATGCAGTATCATTTGCGTGCGGTCGTACAACTCTCTCTCGTACGCATCACTAAACTCACCGGGTGCCGCATGAAGCTATCCGATCAAGGAGAGGGAGGAGGAGGAGGAGGAGGAGGCCGAACACGCGACAAAAACTTGCCTCCGTTTCCTAGTCTGTGAATCATTGCGGTCTGTTAACTTGAGAAACACGTTTGCCTTTCCAGATGAGGTCAACTCCTCTTTGCGGCATCGAGCTACTCCAACTATTGTGTGTCACCTGACGTTGTCCCATTCCTCGATGAAATTCTCGAAATCTCTCCGGATAGAGCGTTTGTCCTTACGGTCCAGGTGCACAAGGTAGAAGTTGTTCGGATCGTAAATGGCCTTTTCCAAGAGCGCATAGAACGTGCAGGTGGTGGAGGCATGTGGTCACCGTGAAGGGATTACATCGAAGATCGAGAAACGTGTCGTAAACATGGTATGACAACGCATTCGGCGACAGAAACAAGCGAAAGGGGAGGCTCATCGTATCGAAGAAAGCGTTGGATGTGGCACGTGATCACGGACCTACGGGACGTCGGTCGAGCTGAATAAGAGAACCAGCTTTCCTTGCCACGTCATCACAAAAGGTGCGCTGTGTGTAGATTCTAACGGGCTATGAAATGATCTGAGAAATGAGGGAAATGAGATAGTTGTTGTTTTCTTCGGTCAAGTATAGACATGTGAGGGCCGCGACGCCTAAAAGGTAGCCCGAAGCGATTACTATAGGTAACCGATTCTCCTGTTTTTTCACGGAATCAGACGTATTGGCACCAGCAAGGTCAAATGCGTTTCGCTTTTGCGAAGCCGGAAGCCACCGCGGTCATTCTCATGGCACGGGAGTACTGTAGAATGATGACCAACAGCAATATGTCGAACTTACAGGGAAATGGTACAGGTAGCATACCTTGAGTAGGCGTTTCGTCTTGTGGAGTTCTTCGGTCCCGCTGGACATGATCAAGTAGCCGATTCGTGCCCGCTTTTCGTACGTCGTAGCAGCACCTCCACCGCCATCACCGTCGCCACCCGGATCAGGAGCTGTCGTGATAGGCATGTCACCCAGAGCCCTTGACACGCTAGAGGGTGCCCGAGAAGAGGCTGGGATTGAAGCTGCATCGAGGTGTTCGCGGTCATTCTGGTCATGGAGGCCTTCCGACCTGCGACGTCAGCAGCAATCAACCACCCATGATTTTGCTGAAGGCAAACTGAACAGAGATTTCCAATCCCAGGCCTTGCTCTATCCTTGTGCTTCCAGTTTATTTAGAAGTAGTTTCCCCAACACACCTGAGGGTCCGAAGCCAACAACAGTCACATTCCGTAGTTTTCTCGTTCGCCCGTTAACGTATTGAGAACCTTGCAGGGTTCGAAGGCACCCTACTGCGATTCGGTCGCTATCGAAGACACCCTAAACACCGCTAGTAGTGATGATATGTCTTCTCTCACCTGAATCGTCCCTTGCTGTTACCACGTTGAACTAAAGCAGTCGCTGTCGCAGTCGCCCTGTCGTTTCCATGGGATGGCAGCACCGCTCCACTCCCGCTCCACCCCTTCCGCTGTGGACCGGCGAGGACACCAGGAGTTCATCACAATAAGCGAAAGACACAAGTGTAGCGTAACAGTGTCCCACATTAGCAAACGTGTATGTTTATGCGTAACATTGGATAAAGAGCTTAATCATGTTTGATTTCTGACAGGCACAGATGGCCAGAGATGTAGATGGTAGGTTGGATCGTGGGAGGTTGAGAGGGCGAGATTGACCTGAAACGCCTTATGTCAGCCCGCCCTGCTGGTTGGATCACCGCTACGATCCACGATGAAGGGGTTAGTTGCCCGCGGTGGCGTGCAGCCTTGAGGATGTTCAAGGTTCTAATTCGCACTCCCACAGCCAATTGTCTCTGGTCAGCGGTGTTCTACTGCATAACATTGTTGGGCAAGCGCACGCACAGACAAATTGCAGATTGATGTCGATGGCTATCGAGACCCAAGGGTGGCAAGCAACTGCGATCTGACCTTTAAAAGACCGTCCCATGGGTAGCAACGTCCCGCACAAGAGTGCAGTGGTGCCGGCGGTTGTGTCACATATTTGTGGCAATTCTTTCCCACACTGGCATATTAACTGTTCTCATCCCATAGCACGAGAAGGGTTCCCTAAAAACTTAGATTTCGGGTGCCAAGTACATACCAAGAATACCCGTGCGTACAGGGAACTGCCAGCGATCAAGTCACTCAAAAAATAAGTTTGTTTGGGATGCCCACTGACCACAGGAAAGAAACGCGGATGCAATGATGTGCTAAATAGCGAGAAAATAGATTAATGCAAATAACAGGGGTACCAACTACATGTAGTAGTGGTCAGCGGGGTGCACCGCAAAAGCAAGCGCCATACTTCGTATATTGGATGGACGGACAGCGTAAAGGCTACAATTGTACGACTGCTGTGGTTCGCCTGTGGTTTTCTTTCTGTCATCAGATTCAGTGTTTTTCCCGAGGAGGAGGTCGAGGACGAGGGCCGGGGAAAATCAAATACCCCGCGTAGTTTTCTTTCGCATTCAACCAAGTATCCTAAAGCCAAGCATCCCGTTGCTGGCCATATGCAATCACGCTCTTTTTTCCGTAAAAAAAATGGTGCAGGCTCTCTGCAACAAGAACAAGTAGTAGTTGGAGCAGATCTACTCTGCTGTAGATACCATGGACTGGCCCGCTCACGGACCGTCGTCGGAGATAGGATATTGCTTGCATGACGGAAGTCGAAGTCTATCCAAACCCGGACGTACTGCAGTAGTACCAAAGATAAGCTAGTGGTTCATAGATCTCAAAGATCGGCCGCCTTCACCTAGATAATGTACAAATCTACAGTACGTACGTACAGTAGGCCTACCGATGCCTGCAACAGTTTGATTCGCGCCTGAACATCTCCTTGCATATATGCCATCTGCAGTAAGATCGGGTGTGGCTCGTGTATGATCGCCTGCGCCCCACCAGGCCAGAACGCTCGTGCATACCTGGTGGGCGATGACCAGCATAGCAGCAACCACAATAGCAGAAGAAACCAAGAAGACCTTCGCCACGAACCGCGGCAAGCTGTGCTGCCGCTGGTGTTTTCTTCCCGAGTCGACGTGCAGGATGCCCCCACCACGCTGGAGTTTGTCGCCGGAGACAAGCCCACACTCCTGCGCAGATATCGAATTGACTGATCCGCTAGCGAAACGAACTCCGGAGGCGTGCATGTTCAATGCCACCTGTAGAGAGGTGTACTTGGTTCCCCGTAGTACTGCTGTGCCGCCAGTTGTTGCAGCAGTTGCTGCTGCGTCTTGTTGGACGTCCTGGCGTTGTCGTTGATGCGTAGACCTCGACCCGTTCCCGTTCTCTTCTTCCTCTGCTTTTGCCGGCCAAGAGTGCCATAAACTCGACCGCGTATCCATTGACTTGTGTGAGTGATGAGTACTCACGCCCAACGCACGATTTAGATTTTCATCTTCGCGCGCGATGCACGCTCTTCGATGGAAGTACACGTCGCCGCGGGCCCGAACAGATAGATGAACGGATTCCAGCCGTTTCATTTTTTTTTTCGCAAGATCGAAGAGGAACGCTTCAAAATCTCTGGACTTCCCCGTACGCCAGAAGAAGTGTGTTGAAGTTTATCACGTGTTACTTGTACCCTTCCTAGTGGCTATGGCGTCAGCTGCCCCCCCAAGTTGTAGTAATACTCTTCCACCTGGCTGGCTGTCCTTCGAGCTGGCTGTGAACTTTTGGAGAATCTCCCCTGTAGCACCGCACCTTTTAGCTGGCTGCTGTATGCATCAGGTACATGTGGAGGACACCTGTCAGGAGTATAACCAACCATGTGTGCACATACAAAGTGTAGGAAGATATGGCTCCCTCGGGGTATCTTGTCACAAGGAGAGTGACAGGAAATGCACCGTCGGAGATGGATATCTTCCGAAGTCCCTGGCCACTTGCCGAAAGTGGAAGCGGAGAGTCTTCGACTCTCCTCTCCCTCTGCCGCTATGGCCACTCTCTCTTTCTACCCTCTTCTCCTCGTTTACACATCACGAGAGGAAATAGCCTTCCCCTGGCAGTGGGATAATACTGCCACGGCACCGGCATCTGTCTCCGACAATAGCCAGTGTCCTCATACAATTGAAATTGAAAGAAACACGCCTTTCTTGGGTGTGGAATGGTAGGAAGAGAAAGGGGACAGAAATTAAATAATTAATTAATAAATTAATTAGGAAGGGTAGGAAGGGTAGGAAGAGAAATGCTCCATGAACCATTTTGTATATACCTACTGTGCATGTCCTGAAGGCCCGGCATTTATTCCCAGCTTCGAAGTTTTCTTATCCTTCGACCTCTGGCTATGGCATAGGCCGACTTGAGCTGGCTAGACTATGCTCTTAGGTCTGGCTGGGACGGCGGCAAAATTGCACACGCATAATATTCGACCTGAGTATGACTGCGACAGATCGCCCTGGTCAAACCGCGTTGTCGAGCTGGCCATGTGGTCTCAGCAGACTTTCTCCAATCGCTGTGCTGGCAAGGGCAGGAGCAATACTGCACTCAGGAAAATCGTTGAGTGACTGCAGTCAGTCACAATTCCTCAGAGGACATCGTTCGCTTGTTTCATCAACGACTGTGACAAAGGTCAAGCACTCACAAGGCATCTAATCTAGGGCTCCTTGCTGACTCTGGAAATGAAGGCTGCAGAGAAGAAGCCAAGGCATCGAACCTATGTTGTCATCCAAGGGCAACGAAGTAGGCATGATAACAGCCACCGAGGGCACAACGCACCCTGCATGCAACCTGCCGAACGCCTCACGCACGGGGCTTTGCGCTTGGTGCTGTGCGAGCCCGACCCGGTGAACGCCTTGCATGCCCCATCCCAGCTATGTGAAGGAGCGCGAGGAAACAGTCAACAATCTGTAGTTTGAATAGGTACGTACAAGTACACCTCGAAATACTTTGACCCTTTCCGCCTCGCGTTAATCACGGCGATGTACAGAACACATTGACCCAATGGATACATCTACACAACGCCGCTGTGGGAGCCGTATTGGAACGCCCCCCCGCCACAAGGCAACTTGTCTACTACTGCTATTCTATATTTTAAAAGCAATAACCACGCCGGAACGGCGGTCTTACAGGTAACCCAGTTCTATGTACATCACAGGTCCTACTACTATCACACCTTTTCTTACAATAGGGAAACAGCCTGCTCGGCGGTACGTTGCTCAAGTTTCGTTGTTTCGGTAGCCCTTGAGCCAACCGGGTCAACAGGACACGATCGTTCGTGCGGATGGCACAACGAATACAAGAAATGAGACGAGACTCACACCCCTTCGCATCCTTTTGAGAAGCGCAAACAGTCAACAAAAATGAAGAACCGAACCGCCCAGAGACAATGATTGCGAAATGCCGCTTGGGGAGAGCAAGAAGGTCAATGGGCTACTCCGTCCGCTGTACTGCTATCGACGACACACACCCGGCGGTGGGAAAGACGAAAAACAATCAAAACGGAGGATACTGTAGATCAGATCACTCGGCGTGCGCGTTACCTTCGCATTCTTTAATGACCGGCCGGTACAGGTTGGACTTTCCAGATCGGCTGTTCGGTCGTCGTCCCGGCATGGGCCAGAGAACGAGGGCGAAAAACGGGTAAGAAGGTGGACGCGAAACAAGGGTGGAACTTCCTGTTAGATGCTGCGGACTTACTTCAACGCTCGCTGGCGCGGTTTTCACATCCGAACCGTACGTGCATGCCTAACTACAAACTGGAATCTCTACCTCCTCGTATATCATGGCCTCCCGAACAGCCAGCACCTACGAACTCATCGCCTCACTCCCGTGGTCTCAGATCCGCTGCTACGCGGCGACTCAGAACCCTCTACCACAAACCTGTTGCACTGCGCGCTGACCCCGATGTTGACGATGGAGTGGATCCAGTGCTCCGGCACGAAGAGGGCCTCCCCAGCTCTTAGGATGACCTCGTTCGCGGTGGCCTCCTGTAGATGTGGGAACTGCGCCGCCACGTTCGGGTCCGTCCAGTCCGCGGACGTGTGTCGAGCTGAGGGAAAAAATGAAAAGTGAAACTCAAAGTACCGACAACAATGGTCGTATGTGGAGACCTCGTCGAACGGCGTTTCTTGGGGGACTAAGGTACCGTTCTCTTCAACAAGCTTGGGAAAGCGCAGAAACGCTACAATATTCGGTATTTGGTAACGTCTTTGTCTTGGCAGTCGCGGCAGGCTGGGTTCGGACGAGGAGGGTAAAAGCTACGCCGTCATCTCGAAAAACCACACCGTTTTGGACCAAGCTTGTCTGAAGCTCTTCAACTCTATGTGCAAGCTTCACCGGACCACACAACTCTTGAAGGAGTTCCATGCAGTGCAGGGCTCCAAATTGCTACACGCCATCATTTCGCGAAGTGATACAACTGCCGAATGCTGTGCACGTTCCGATACGGAGTTAAAATTCGCGCCGGGCAATGTGGAGATGGGGCAGAAACGGAACGCCGAGCGGTGTTGTATCGAGCGTTGCTTGACTGCAGCCGATACGCCACATTTTTTACCGTGTTACCAGATCAGCGAGTTGGCGTCTTCCTGAAAACAAGAAACATGATGGTATCTGGAGAACCGAGAGTAGAGAAAATAGCAACCTCTCACCGGAGGGGTGACCCTTCCGGAACATGTGCATGTGGGCGCAGTTGTGAGGATTGGACAGAATCCAACGACGTTTTCCGGCCAGGAGCGCCACCATGTTCCGCGACCCGTCGTAGTGGCCCTCCGACATCACCTTTGGCGGAAGGAAAAAAAAAAAGAAGCGGCGAAGCACAGCCGAAGCGAGACGAGGACGACATAATCACGACAGACCCGGGTGCCGTAACCACCTGAAACTAGAGCTTTCACCGGAGGTGACAGGAGTCCTCCCTGGGAAATAACTTAAGAGAGGGGGTGGCAATACCATCACTCCGTTGTAAATGAACCACGTAATTTTATTAAACTACCTGGCGGGGAAGCCACCTCGAGGGGTGTGTCGAATACTGACCATGTCCACACCACGCAAAATTCCCATCCGAGGACCCCTCTCGGTCACACCATCCGCCATGCCATGTCGGGCGTAGAGAGCACCTACGGCACGAGCGACCGCACATGCCATCTGATAATTGCAATTCTGCTGTTCCGAATGGTTGGGATGCCCGGAGACTAGTCTAGAGGGCGTGCTCCGTACTGTAGCCAACGCCATTTGTCCTACTCCGTGGTGCCGGAAAGGTTTTATTAATGCGAGACAACCGAAGCCACATTACTCGCGGCAGGGATACGTAGCGGGTCGTAAGTGGCGAACTGCTGTTCTCAGTAACCACGGCGAGAACCAAACACGTGTACGCGTGGTTCAAAGTTCAGCCGGTATTCGCATGCCGCAAATACCTTGGCTGTCCTGACGGTCAGCAAACGATAAAACTAACACAATTCAGAACAGTATGGTGCTTACCCCATCCATCCCTAGGCGGCAGTGGATCCCCTTCGTAGCCGACGCATCCCTCAAGAAAATGTCGGTTTCATCCTTGTCACTCCCCGCTGCGCCCTCGAGCATGCGAATTTCACCATCGGTTGGTTCCTGTTCTTCCCCGCCCTCCAACTCATCCTCCGAATGCCGACGCTGGTGCGGTGGCCATGCATCTTGCTCGGTCCACCTGCAGGTACAATGGGAATGTCGACTTGTTCAACCGACGGTGTGCTGCAGTGTTGTGAAGCGATTTGCCAGCAGACGTTCTTGCCTTGACAACTCGTACTGCACGATACCATCCTCTTTAACCTAACGGGGCTGGGTGATTTCAAGTGGCAACGGTGTTTAACCAGCATTTCACAAGCGACACCGGGTCTTCTCTAGTACAGAGCATGTATTTGTATCCAAATACCGTCGCAGGCATAGGGATTTCGGGCTTCACATCGTCCGAAACAAGTACAACGTCCATCTCGACGGAACCATCTACCGGTCGCAGCAAAAAACAACCGCATGCATTGAACCAGTGGGAAAACGTACCACGGTGAACCGCCCGCGGTCAACATCGGAATGCCACCTAATCGGATCCCGGTTTGAGTGCGTGTGGACACAGAAAATCACGTTGGAGCACAGAAAGAAGCACGCACAATGGTGGTATAAGATTTACTTCGGCGCGCACCCACCCATCTCCATACGGTAACGAAATCACCCTCAACCAACGACTAACCCCTATCCATCCACCCACCCACCCACAAACCGACCTGCTCTCCCTCGAACTTTTTCTTCGACGTCCTAAAGGTTTTGAGAGCAGCAAGGCAGAGGGGAGGCAGGAAAGCGGTCTGAGGTCATCGCAGTCGCGGCGAAAGGGAGGGTCTTGATTTCTTGTGCTGTTGGAGTTCATCCTATTGTTGTGATTCCCACCCTCAGGCTCAAGCTCGTGGTCCTACTCTTTCAACTGTCCCATAGCGTAAGGCTGCCAATGGTCAAAAAAAAGAAAAAAGGTGCAGTAGAAGAATCGGCGGCACTGAACACAGGGCTTGCGGCACAGGCCCCGTCCTTCACGGGAACGAAAAAGGCACTACCGTACCACCTCCTGCCGGATAGGAAAGTAAACCCTTGTAGAGCGCACCAAAGGCAGGGAAGGGATCGAACAAAGACCTTTCAGGGGGGGGCACTCGCTAGACTAGACCTAGTCACGAGCGAACCTCTCAGACACGACCCGTAAACTTAATATCTGTACAGCCGCCTCCTGCAACGGGCAAATCATGATATTAATCTAAACAAGTACCAGAAACACTTACGCCGCTCCCTCTAAGGTGATTTCGAACGCCCCCGGGTGAAAATCCATGACCTTGAATCCCTTACCCTTTTTTCCGGCAGGATAATCCCCCTCGGCTGGGCTAAAACCATAGTCGTTGTATGCCAAGCTTTCCGAGAACTCGTCGTCGTACGTTTCCCTGCGTGATAGGGGAGCGGAGGGGGCACGTGGATTAGATGGGAGGGGAGAGGGATGTAGGCGAAGAAACGACAGGGGGGGGGGTGCAGGCGGTACTTACTCGAAAGAAAAAACCTACGAACTAAAGGTTGTTCTACGACATGTTGTGACTAAGGGAACGTTTAATTTCTCCGCCTTCTTTGTACACTATCGTGGTGACAAAAGCCACTTATTCAGAAACTTTTGCAACGTTAGGACTTGCGATGCGAACGAGAGACTCTAAAGAAATATATCACGACACCTGGATGAAATGGAGTATGCAGGTGCCAAAAACACTCAAATTTCGACGCGATTGTGAGTGTATTTAGTACAGATGCTCGATGTCGTGCATAAACTTGAACCTCAACCAACGGCACCTATGCTTTATCGATAAAAACTATCCAATCAACGCGTCGATTTTTCCCCATCTCTTCAATTTCCCACGCCCACACGCGCATGAAACCGACAGCACTACCAGCATCAAAACAAGTCCACTTCCAACCCCTCGCTTTTCCCAAGTCACTCACAGAGGCTGTGCAGGAGGGACGAAAAACGGCAAAGAACGGTCCACGAACCGGTTCGGCCTTTCCACGGTGGAGGAGAACTTCAGGTAGTAGTGCGCCTTGCTTGCGGGAGATTCTTGTCTCGTCTCCTCTCCCCGCACCACTTGACTCTCGGCGTTGCTATCCCTTCCGCCTTGGAACCATTCCTCGCCTTGGTCCGGAGAACGGCCCTGAGAACGGTCCTGAGAACGGTCGCACTGTTCCCCGCCGTATGGCGCGAGGAAGTCCTTATCCTTATCCGCGCGCGAGTGGTCGGTCGTTTGGCCGGGCCCGTCGCTCGCCTCAACAATGTGGTCGTTGTCACGGGCAGGCTGGTGGTCCTCTAGTCGGCGAATCCCGAGAGCATGCCGCAACCAAGCGTCGAAAGTGTCCAAGATTCTATTTCAGTGACGGCAGCAGCAGCAGCAGCAGCAGCAAGCATGTGCGGCAACGCATTGCGCTTGTGTGATGGATTGGATCGCACGGGGTCCGAGCGATAGGTACGGGGCCAGTACGCACAGGGAGGACCTGAACGGCCACACAAGCGCTGGTTAGGCCAAAGGGATAAAGTACAGCACCACCACGGCAGATCAGACTCAATAGCAACAGCGTCAGCAAGCAAATGAACCAGCAGCAGTAGCAGGTGCCGAGGTCAACAGTGCGGCGGCAAAGTGCAAAGTGCGCCTCACCTTCGTGTGGGCGGTGTCCAGCCTGGCGGCCGATCCCAGCTGCGTTTTCCGTAGTAGAGGAAACGGTGGCTGGAAGAGACGTCAATGCTGGAAAACCCAAAGCAGAAGACACACACCATATCAGAACGAAGGTCGAACGAGGCAACAAAAGCCGACAATTCCATGGCAAGTCGACAATACCACGGCAGAAGACACACACCATATTAGAACGAAGGTCGAACGAGGCAACAAAAGCCGACAATTCCATGGCAAGTCGACAATACCACGGCAGAAGACACACACCATATTAGAACGAAGGTTGAACGAGGCAACAAAAGCCGACAATACCATGGCAAGTCGACAATACCACGGCAGAAGACACACACCATATTAGAACGAAGATCGAAAGTGGAAACAACAGCCGACTATATTTTCTAGAACATGGCGATGAAAACAACCACAACAGCAGTCACGGTGGTGACGACCAAGACGATGATGGCGTCTGGACTTTGTCGAGAGCGAGAAAGCAGCTCACCGCAAGGGATAATACAACCATAAAAGTGAAAGCAGCCGCACCATCCAACTGACGATCGTACTTTTCCCGCGATATTGGGATCTGTGTAGTAACTCATTGTTCCGAACAATGCGGGCGCTGATGTGTATTACTCTCTCGCTTTCCGGCGTAAACGCACAAGGCTCATGCAATCGGTGAAGTCCGAATGTCGCGTTGTTGGTCCGACCTAGACGGCAATGGTAGTGGCAACGGTTGGCAATAGTCTACAGCACTAGCAGCAGCCGCAGCAGCTGCAGATCTCAGCAGCAGCGGCAACAAATATTGGGCTGCATTGCCCTTTCGCCGTCCAAGCCACCATCACCGCTTTTCCAAACGAAATGGATGCCGGGAAACGCTTCCGCCAAAGCCGGCCGCTGATCATCAAAGCGTGCAGTGATTCTTGTGTAGAGCACCACCAACACGCGCACTCCATACGAACACACGGACCTGTACAAGTGGTCTCCGAGAGCAGCGGTCAGCTTGGCCGGGTTGCTCCACTCCTGAACGGCCCGGTCCAACTCAGGCACGTTGAAGACAATGAACGGCACCTGAGTGAAATGTCATCGTAAAGGTGTTTTCAGCGATCATATTCTTCCAAGCCAGTCCCGTAATCAGTTTTGAAGAACACTATTGAAATGGCGAAAAAGTCGAGTCCGAATACCGTAGAGGACAAAACAGGTCAAAATTATCGGGAAGCGCTGCGGGAAAAGGCGCATTCATTAACACATGGTATAGCTCTGTGAGCTCGCTCTTCCAGGACTTGCTTGCTGCCAAGACACTGCTCGTTGTGCGATACGAAAAGAGGGCATGGACTACTGCTGAACAAGGGTAACACTGTGAACGCCGGTTTCAGGGTCAACAAAAGCTGCAAACGGAGGACGTTCCCACCGCAGCAGCAGGGCATCCGTCAAAGTACAACAGTCGCTAACAAGATTTAAGTTGCCCTCCACCTCCCTCCAACACACTGCTATATTGGACCAGCAAAGATCCAACAGGGGCGGTTCACCTCACGGAGACTGTATGCTTGCGCCTTGTGTAGCTCCGTCTGGTAGTCAAACCTGTTTCCAACAAAAGCAACAACGGAGTCGAGGCGCGGGGGTCAACAACGGCAACTCCAAACACCAGAGTATATCGGCCGAATTAGTTCCGAAGATAGGAATTCGCCACCCATGTGTTGTTGACGTGGAAGGATCGATCTGTTCTACAAACGCTGTGCGCAGCATGGCCCAGAGGTAGGTGAACAGGTACATGGTTGCGGTAGCATAAAGGAGGGCTGAAGCGATGTGCTCGCGGCTGGATTCGTTCAAAAACGTTACCCATGATGTCAAGAAAAAGAGCTCCTACCGCATAGGCGTACGGTGAAACGCGCGACTGCCGAGTTCGTAGTAGTACGCAACCAAAGACTTAGTCTTTTATGACTCGATTGCTGAGCGCGGAAGCTCGCACCACCACCACACAGACAGCAACCGTAAGCAAGGGGGGGACTTCAAAGACAGCCCCAATCAACTCTTCATGTGTCTTATCTTCCCGACCACATTGCCTAGCCCGGAACCGGATGACTCAAATACAGCCAACGCAACAGAGCAACCCAGACCCTACCCAATACACACCCTCACGAAGGACAAGCGGACGCGGCATCCTTCATTCTTTATCCTTGTACCCTTCTCCAACACTCCTCGTCAAACAACAAACAACCCGATGCATTACGTCACACATGATATATGGTACATGCATTCACACATACTCTCGGAACCATCAAATATATGCTTCTATTGCCGACACATACACATACATGACGAACCCGTCCTCGGAGTTTTGTGTTCGGGAAACATACCCTTTGCGTGGTGTACAACCTTGATCACGACGCCCCGGTCTCACCACACAAAGGGTGTCCATGCTGCTCGTGTCGTACGACACGAGCAGCTCTATGTGTCCCCCGCCTGCGTACCTGCAAACCCCGAGAAAATGCCTCTCCGGAACTCCGGACGCGTTCCCGGGGTTCCAGTTGGCGAGCAGGTCGAGCAGCGGCCACTCGGTCGGGTAGCCGGCTTCGGGCTCTTCCGGGCAAGAGAACCTCTTGATCGGCTCGCTGTACACCTCGGATGACATCCACTGCCGCGTGCCAAAACGAGCGCGAAGGGGAAGGGCTGGGGGCTACGCAGAATGATAAGGCCACTACGGTAGTGTTGAGGTCGTAGGCCCTCGCATGCACACCTCTATGTCCATATATTTCTGAATCAGGGCGGAGCACGCAGGATACACGCCAAGCGCGAGCCGATCGCCGTTGAGTTGGCGGCGTGGAGGGCGAGGTGCTTCCCAATAACCGTTGGAGAGGCTGGCGCGCTTGCTGTGCATTTGTTTCCAACTACGGCCGGCGGAGGGAGAGCCTCTATTGGCCTATTGACCCAAGTCCGTTCTGGCCTTGGCAACGACAGCGGCGGCTACGTAGATGTATGTACTGATGTAACGCCTGGAGGGCTACTGGCAATAAGTAATACATACATTTCGTGATAAGGTCATCCTCATTGACCTTAGTAATGGCTTCACCAACCCGCATCGTACGAAACACCCACAGCAGCTTGCAAACGCATAACCACAACAATTAGCCGCCTGTGTACCATCCCACGGCCAAACGCTCACCACACAAAAAAATGATATTGTTGGCAAACGTGGGGGGCGACGTAAGGGGGGGCAGTGGCATGTGCCCCGCCCGACATCCCCAGGGCACCATCATGAAACCGTTGTCGACGCGTTCAGACCGAGGTGTGTGTACTACCGCTATTCTCCCCGTGTCCCCATTCTGCGGACCCCCAGAGAAAATTCTTGAGTCTACGCCCGGACCCTTCAACCCAACCCAATAATAAACATGCTAAATATTTATGTCAAAACAAATGTTTCGAGTGCTTACCGAGGGAGAATTGCCGTCAACCATGCGCCTGAGGCCCCTGTCCCACCGCCGTTGGGGATCTTCTCCCACCGCTAGACCCTCCTCCTCGACCGGGGGCGGCGACGCCTTAACGTCATCACGCCGATCCTCCTCCTCCCCGGTCGCCGCGAATGCTGCTGCTGATGCCACTGATGATGATGATGATGATGATGATGATGATGAGTTATGAAACAGTCCGTTTTCGCCCGTCCCTTTTCCTGATTCGCTGTTTCCACTCTTTTTCCCGAGGCCGCCGGCTTTGCCGGTCCCTACATGGATTTTCCGTTGCTGAGAGACTCGCCCGGCATCACCCTCGACAGGAGGAGCGATACCAACGGTCTCTCTCGAGCTGCTGCCGCAGGGGCTGCCCCCCTCTACTCCCCCATGACGATGTCTTTCTAGGATCCGGTTGCTTGTCAGATTATCTCCGGACCCCCACCACCACACAGTGTCGAAAGGGCCACCAAGCACCTAGAAGATCGCCGTGATAAAAAGATAATTAAAACACAACCAGTTCACGGCAACGTGGGGGGTAGGGAGGGTTCGTTGCCACATCACGACCTTGGAGCGCGACGACAGCAGCAGGATACCTTTTCATCGTTGGCAGCGCTCTCCTCGTACGTACTTGGACCGGGGAAGGGCAACTCGCCCAACCTATTGACGAAAAACGTTAGCCGGAGGTAGGAATCGGAGGCAACACACACGTCCTTGTAACGGGGGGCCAGTGTGGAGTGGTAGAACCGGTGTGTTGGACAAAAAAGATCTGTTGACCGAATATCGACACGGTTAACAAAACAGAACAACTTGAGCTACTGCGGTCATTTGTACCTTGGCGCCCTCCCTGCACGGGTCCCGACACGCATCTGCAAGAGAAACGCTTTCTTCAGAAGGAAACCCCTCGCCGAGGGAGGGAAAACCTGACGCTGCCGCGGCAGTTGCTGCCGGAGCCGCCGAATGCGGTGCTCCGTTTGCGGAGAGCTCCTCGTCGTCGGTGGCCGCGTGTGTAGCGTGGAGCTGGGCATGCATATCCACCATTTACGGAGCCGTTGTCGCGGGGAAGGCGATCGACGAAGATAAATGAGTTACGTCAGGTTTGCTCCGGAGTTCCCGCACAACGCCAAAATAAGGGCGCTCCGAGTGCTCTTAACAGCAAAGCGAATAACGTAGAGGATAGACACGGAGGCGAAGAGGCACGTAGGCTCACGCGAAGCCAAGAGTACCAGTCAAGTCTAGCAACTCTCCGCTCAAAACAGCGGGCTCCCAGACAGAGTCGTTAGTGGAGCGGTTCTAGTAAATGGCAGCAGTAGTAGTAGTGCCACTTCCACCGAAAGAGTCGTGCAGTGCAGTTAGCGAGCGCACCTGTGACATTGCAAGCTCCCCGCCGGGGTGCAATTTCGCCCCGAACAGCCTCGTCAACACCCTGGCGGCTGCCCCTGCCGTTAGGCGAGACGACGCCATAGCCACCCCATGACCATGACCGTTGTGTTTCGAGTCATGCATCGACCTCGTTCCGGCGTATCTAGAAGAGCTCTAGAGAAGTACGGTACGCGTTGCCAGCGGAGAAGAGATGGGGGGAGGGCAGAAGACAGCGAGAGTGGGGGAGAGATAAGAGATAGACAGAGAAGAATGAGGAGGGGTACGGAAGGTAGAAAAAGAGATTGAGAGTTGGACCCGATGGCAGTACAGAGTGGAAAAAACGAAACACGTTCCATAGAAACTCCGGTGTCCCAATACGGAATTTAGATGCGGATACGGAATCGAGACCTTGCCAGAGTAGTACTGTCGTCTCGCAACCTCAACGTGTACGGTAGCAGCATCTGGAAAAATCTTATCTATGTCGTCACCTGCAGGCAGGGCTTGGAAGTGCTGTCGTCGCGCTCGTGGTAAAGATACAGCCAAGGGGTCTCGGGAAGCACCTGCTCTTAGTGGGTGGCGGGGCCAAGCAATGGACGCGGGCGCATTGAAGGGGGTTGTCGGAAGATAAAATATCGCTGACAGCTCGAGCAACCGGTGTGCAGTTCGAGCAACGCTGTTCGCTGGACCGGCCACACGGGTTCCACCAGACGACGGAAGTGGCGGAAAATACGGGCGACCCGCTTGACAAAACGTGCACGAACTGGCGGACACGGAAGCGAGGCGCAAATCGTAGCTCGGTCGTCCATCCCGTGCATGAAATATAATACTCATAGGCTACAGCAGTGCCACGTGTGACAGTGGTTTGTGAAGATGGCGAATAATTTGCTCCCCAGTGGGGCTACCCTCGGCTGAAGCTGGTTTGAAGCCTCAAAGGTTGCCGAGAGCGCATTCAGGTCTACAAAGACGGTGTAGCGGTAGCGCAAAGAGTTAAAACTTGCGGCGGCATGTCTCCATACCTCAAGCAAAGTCTCGACTTCGTCCCATCGCCAACCCGAAGCAACCAACACTGTTGTCCACAGCTCCGCGTCTCCTCCCCGTCTCCCCTGGCCGGGTGACCAAGCGTCCCACCACCCACCATCAATCCGCCCCTCTAACGCCTGGCCCTTCCCCCCGTCACCACAAAATAACGCTTCCGCAAGCACATGCTCTTCACTCTTCTCCATCCTTGACCCGGCGCTAGCAGCAGTCGCCAGGCTTGAGGCCGCCTCCCCCCCCCCCCCGCCCCACTCCGTGCCGGGGCTCCCATCATAACCTCGGGCATCGATTAGCTCCCGTGGCGATGCCGTGTCGTCTCTGCCGGTGGCCCTAGAAGGGTCGTCTATTTCGTCGTCGACGTCTCCAACGACTGGTGGCGAAGAGGATGATGACGCATCGCAGTCACCCGTTGCATCGTCTTCGCGTGATGCCGATTCTGGCTTCGCTGCCGACTTCGAGCCTTCGAGGACAAGCACTGACACTTGTGACCGGATTTCGCGGGTGATGCCCTCGGAGTCGCATCCGTCCGCATCCAAGCAACGACGGATCACGTTCTGCGGAGGAAGCACGGCAGAAGCACATGGACACGGAAGGCGCGCTTGAGAGGAAACCAAAGTACGGTCGAGGCTCAAGCACGATCGTTGAGCATCTTAGACGTACGTACCCCTTGTACGCCGCCATTGTTTATGATCATGCTCTGCCGTCTCCCACTTTCTTCCCCACACCCGCTTGAGTCGACAAGCAATGACCGCCATCGCGTCTTTGCCTGCAAGCGATCTACGGCGACTTTCGATCGTGCTGTCATCAGTCCACCTTTTCGAACGCCTCCTGGTCAATACGACGCTCTCTGTCTCTGCCGCTACCGCCGTCGCCCTCCCCTCCGCCCTACTCGACACCGAACCCGAAGCTACCGTGGCACAACCCCTCTCTCTACCTGGAGGTGCTCTGCCCCCTCCAGCACGACAACAGGCGGCCCAGCAGCGGCGAAGAGGGCCGCAGCTGGCAGCGATGTTCCCTCCTTATTCCCCGTTTCTTGGAACACCAAGCCCGCCGGCTCTCCGATAGCTCTTTCCCTGGGGTGGGCCACCCCGCCCCTCGCCATCGCCCATCGCTGAGAGAGGAGATAGGACGGCCACAAAGGGGTACGCACATATCAGAGGCTTGCGACTATCACATAACACGTCACCGCTCGTGTATCGATAAATTAAGACCGTGCTCTTTACGGCAAGTACCAAGCGTCCAAAAGGGTCTTCGCTCCGCCTTCATTTGGTTTGTAGTTGTGTTCAGCGGGGTAGCTGGCGAACGCGAAATATGATATTTTCTTTGCCTTTGAAGAGGAAGGAAGAGGGAGGGTCTGGATTGAGAGGAAGATCAGAATGTTTTCGAAGATATAGCGATAACAACGACGACAACGACAGTAACATCCACGGTACAATTTCAAACAGCATGGACGAACGTGGAGCTACTGCTTTGACCCCCTGGCGCAAAACTTGAGGCCAACCGCTCCACTAATCGAGTGCGCACCACCCAAACTTATTCTCCCTGTTACACGTCAACATATCGTTCGTTCTGCGTGTGCCTGCGAACGGTGGAGACGCTCGACAACTCTCGCTGGCTGCGCGACCACGAGCACTACCACCCCTTACCCTCGCGTGGAAGCCCTCCGAGATGACACCCGGAACACCCCCGACTCGATACCCCTTCCTCGAGATCGGTACCCCGGCCGCGATGTCTCGGAGAGCCTTGCCGAAGACGTACCAGCAGAGGACCACCACTGCCAGACTGTTCCGAGTCACCGTTTCAGGCGGTGAGAGACAATGAACACATATCAACAGTTTCGTCAAAGCACGAACGGGGCCGTGCGTAGTTGCGTCTGGGCCGTGCGTGTTGGATGGGAAGATCCTCGGGGGGGGGCGGGGCAGTAAGGACTACGAACAGCACCCGAGAACAGATTTACAGGCTCGTCGCGTTCTTTTCCGATGTCGTGGCAATCGTCTCTCGAGAGAAACATGAAACACGATTCGGAGGGTACCGCCGTAGACAGCGGAGAGAACTCACGCTTGCGGGGCTGCTTCTGTAAATCTCGCCTTTCTCCTTTGTGCCTCCCCCCCATCCTTGTGCATTATTTCCGGCATGTGCGACACTGGCCAGAATCGCAGCGGACACTAGGCACGGTACGGTACTGAATACACTCGTAGCGCCAACAATCCCTATATGGCAGGTAAATCGAAGTGCTCCGTTCCGGTATGCTATCCCGCGCCCCCCTTGTGCATTTGCTCTCCACGGACGGTCGTGTTGTGTACATGTATGAGCCCAAAAGTGGTATAATGTGGAGGGTCTGCTTGCTGGCCTGCACGGCCAGTTGTTGCAGCAGGACACCCCATTTCCAACCGTGTTGCCTCGCCAAATCTGTGGTTCAGCTCCGGTCGTTGTTGTTGTTGTTGTTGCTGCTGCTGTTGCTGTTATGTCAATTGCGAAACTCTTTCTGACTTCTACAGGTAGATGACTGTAATCGTTCCTTGGCTTCATGGCATCCAAATCCGGGGACATATCATACATGACCCAGCGGGTCAATGCAATGAAGAACGCAAATACAAAAAAAAGACAGACAAACACCCCATCACTCGCAAAAAAGCAAACGATCCTGGAGCAACACGCCTAGAAAGACAGAAAGGATGGTGTCGGCGATCACATGCGTGAAAATGTTGTGTGCTGGTATACTGGCGGAGGATCTCGGCCATGCCTAGACTAGTTTGCCTATTGGCCCGCATTCCCATCCCCCCTTCTTACCTGTCGGACTACATGAATATTTGGAGACACTGCATGTGTTCTGCCACTTGTACATACCCGAGTGCTGTGTGTCTGGACTCTTCCCTCTGTGTAATGCATATGTAATCGCGTGCTTCATAGAGGCTCCTCCGAGGAACAGCGAACCATCAGCCTCAAGGCCACTACACCACCGCGGGTGGAGAGCGCCCAAAGCCCCGCTGCCGCTGCAAAGAGAAAGATATGGCATCGTGTTTCGAAGACCTCCAGCTTTTACAGCAAGACCATGGCAACAAAGTACATGGATGTCACCCACAAGTAGCCAGCGCGACTCACGTTATCAGCAGCAGCAACGCCCTGGCCGTGAAACTGCTTCGCTTGTTGTGGGAGGGCTCGAGAGGTGGGTGTCCGATGCAGCGCACCGGCTGTTCAAGTTCATCACTCCTTCCGCCTGCTTCTCTCCCACCAGGCACTCTCTTCCTTCTCCTCAGGACGCTGCCCATCTCTCAATCTCCCACCATCTATCAGCGGGGCGTGTGAGCACAGCGTTAGCCCGTGGCAGCTCCAACATCTCACCGTCTCTCCATCTCTCTCCGCGGGTCGGCGGTGCGGCGCAACTACCACCGCGATGCGGCGTAATCAGGCCGGAGGCCCGGCTCCGGCCACAAGAACGCAGGGGGCTTCTGATCTGATCTCCTCACACTCTTGCGGTTGCGTGCTTCCGTGGCGTGGGAGTCTCATGGTATGGGGATCACTTCCTCCCCGGGTAACGCGGGTGGCTATGCAGGCGGGCCTTCGCTGCGCGCGAACAGGCTCACGGTGAGAGCAAACCACAATTTCCCTCTCAGTATATGGTACTTCACGACTCTCAGGCATAAATTACAGGCATATCGTGGTAGTCTATGTACGGTCGTGCCGCAGGCTGGGGTGCTGGGTGTGTCTCTGAGTCGTCATTCGATGGCTGTTGTAGCCCTCTCGCCTCCCTCGCTGGGTGGGGGGTGTGAATCTGTTGTTGCTCTGAGTTTGTGCCCGACATCTTGCATTGCGCGGAGCTTGTACGTGTTCGTACATACATACCCAATGGCAACGTCCTCCTTGACCCATAGCTCGAAGAAACCGCATGCCTGTGTACAGTAAACTCCAGACTACTGCTGTACACCAGCCTCACGGTACACAAAAGACGGGAAGCTTGCTGCAATACACCTATGTACCAGACACACAGCAGTTGCGTTGATCGGTTTTGTTCTTTCCGGTGCGTACGACGCATGAGTCAACGCGTTGTCATGCATGGATGTATCTGTACGCTGTACGTATTTCGGGCTGGTTCGGGCGCCGGGAGCATTAACACCTCCACTGGCTGTGACATCGGCCACGCCCGCGCGCGAGAGAGCGGTCAGTCTCGCTACGTCGTCTACGGTGGTATCTATCTGTCACAAGGTGCTGTGTATTGCATCAGTCGACGGACATACTCACAACACATCGGTGGTCACGCCTCCGCGATGCAATACTGCTGTACATGACACTACGAGATCCCCGGACCAAAAGTTGCCGCGGAAGCAAGGCTCTACGGGAATAGGCTCGACGGAACCAGCTGAACGGCATTCTTTACAGAGAAAAGAGTTCCCCGAATTGGGTTTGTTGTTGCTCTCGCACGCGGTATCCGGCGATGCATGAGTCATTTTCCTGGCAGGGGGACGTGAGTATCCGGCCCGACAGATAGTGCAAGTGTTGGTGAGCTGTTAAATCAGCTACAGAACGAATATCAGCGCTCATGGTTGAACATTTTGTTGCTGTGATGTTCCGTTTGACTGCTGTGTACACGTACAATCTCAAGATCAAAAATCTCAAGTGATACTTGCATCGGGTCTTCACCCGCGTAGGAATTTTTTATAAAGAGGAGGGATCTCGCCCGCTCATTATTCCTGAACTTGACGCGTGACGTAATGTTTCACCAGTATGTGGCGACGTGTCCCCGTGCTTGTGCCCAACAGGAGGAGTGGTGGGCGATACGCCAAGCGCGGAGGCTTTCTATCCACCGCAGCCAAGGTAAACGCGCCTTACCACGCAGCAGAGCGATACGATCACTTCCTTTACCGTGGGGCAAATCGCCGTGTACTGTATCCACAGACTCTCCTTGTCTCTTGTCAACCTTTTCTCCGTCGGTATTCCAGTGGTTTGTGTATGCTGAACGTTGCACCGTCACGCATCAAAAGAACGATATCGAGCTCTCGCGCCCCCGACCCTAAAGTGTTATCTGACTTGTAGCATAGTGGATATGCTGTACACCGTGACATAAAGTTCAGCATCAACCCGGCACAAGAGCGTTTATGGTTCAGATGGGCGGTCGACTGCTTTTATTCTCTGGCCTTGGCGCTGTGGCGTTTGGCAGCAGCTGGTACAGATAAGAAATGTAGCTGTTCCTGACAAGCCCCCTGCGCGCTCGTCCTCTCTCATGTTCACCACTGCTGCAACGGCCAGGTGCCATTGCCGGATATCACTTTCGGTGTAGAATCGGAGCCAGCGTTGCCCCTGTTGGGAGATCTTCCACTTTTGCAGATTTCTCAGTCCGTAGGTAAGCGGTGGAGTTGAAGTAGCCCTTGTGTGCTTAGCTAGGGTTGCGTCGGACATCTTTGTCAACGCTGATTGGAAAGAACCCCATTCGCTACCACTAACTCCGTTGTCCATTGCAGCTGAACGCTGAAAGGAGGTGGATTTTCATGCACAACAAATGTTAGCGGCGTTGCTTGTGTTCGGTTGTCCTGGTGTGGTTCACATGCCATGTTCCCAGGCGAGGGCACCCACGTTCCCTAAACGCTGCCAAGCTTTCGCGGGAATGTCTCGTTGCGCCTACTGCCTGTACAGGGGGAAAATATCACTTCTTTCTCAGCTTGTGCTCTTCCGCTGTCGAGACGGCAGGCCTTGCGTCTCCGAGATGTCGTCACTGTTTTGTCTCAAAACACCCCCGTCTCAAGATATTTATATTGCGATACTGCTGTTCCGCCTCCATATTTTTCAGCATTGCAATACTGCTGTATTGTCTCCTGTTTTTCTGCAGCATGTCCAGAGCCGGAGGGAGACGATGACGGTGACGGCCGCTGACACCGGCCCGCCCGGTTTCAATCGATCACCGAGGCGTGCGGTGTTCGGGAAACCGGGCGGGATAAGTGGCATCCAAGGAGCATAATACATTTGTGGACGGGAGGTGATGCTAGAGATGTCTTGGTTGGATGGGGAGGGGGCACTCGAAAGAAATGAGACGAAGAGTGTCGCAAATCGGTTGGCGCCGGTGGCGTCTATCGGTTTAAGTGGTTCACGAAGCATTGTGAAAGCTGATTTGACCCCGCGGACACGACGAGGCGTCTTGGTTGCGGGGGCGTTCGTTTGTCATGTCCGGACACTCCTGCCGAAGGAAACGAGGTCGTTTGATAGACGGGCGGGAGCATGTGTACCGTCAAATATGTGTGAGACAGGGTGGCCAATGATGTCGTTTGATACAAGGGCGGGGACATGTATACCGCCAAAGGTGTGTGAGTCAAGCGAGGACGCTGCTGTGCGTGTGACTTCGCTCCAGGCTTCTGGAACTTGTGTGCCGCGGGGTAGGGCAACACAACAAGCGTCTGTTATATGTACGCCACGAAGATAAATGTGGTACAATAGTGCGCCATGCGGCCATCGTCACACGTCCCGCAATACAACGAATGGACTCACGCGCCGTGTGCATGTCGTGCTATGCTCTGCGATGTGCATACCAGCAAAGCGTCTTTGTTGTGTGTGGCCCTCCACCACGTGCACGTGTTGGTTGGTTGCGAGTCTCACATGTGGCTACGGTAGGTTGCGAATAAGAGGTCGGTATCACACCCCCTGGGCCGATTTCAAAGCTCGATTTCTCGGCAAAGAAGAAGAGTAACAGTGACGGCGCCGAGAACGGCGGGAGGCGTTGGAACAAACTGTCTCCTCGGGAGCTTTCCGAAAAACGCATCACTTGAACTCGGCATGGTCTTCGTCGTCGAGTAATCGAGCTTTGAAAATCGGTCCTGAGGGATGGTGAATCTTATGATGCAACCTACATACCACGGTATATGAGACGTTCGTTGTGCAGGCTTCGTACCGTCATGCATGGCGTGTCGGCGGGAATACCGCGCTGCGGCATGCCCAAAGAACGGCCAAGACCCATATCTATAGCATTGCGGGCCAGTGCAACGCCATTCGCAACAGCAGCGCCTCCATCGTTCGCGTGAGAACCTCTACATGGCTTGGCCCTGGCGTCGACATCTCTGCTGTCAGTCAGCGCTTGGTTCGTCCGCTCCTCTTGATTGGCTGCTTTCGACAGCGGCAGCAATTCCGCTCCTCTTCCACCAGAACATAATCACCCTGACATACGCTCACGTCAACACATGGCTTGTTGGATGCCAGGATGGCAATGGCTTGGGAGCCCCACACACACCAAAGAAGAGCGTGTACACAAAACACGAGGACCAACAACTAGAAACGGGTATACCCGGGTACTTTTATCACCACTTTAGGGTACACTTAGAATTCAACACGCTTGCACCCGCAGGCTGTCAGCTGATTTGCCGAAAAACCATCGTACCCATTTCGGAAGAAACCTCCATCGGGTACTTGTACAACTACCGATGGCATTAGGACCCCCTGGTGTGACCGATATTGGTTACTGGTGTACCCGGAAGAGGTCGATTTTGTACCCAGAAATGGTTATATAATCCCGGCGCCCGACGCTCTAGCATAAAACACGCAGAAGAAAACGTGTACCGCACATACATACCCACAACCACCAACGCTCGCTCGTTGATGGGCACCGCCTCCATAGGATACCGGCCCCTCTCGACAGACTCTCGACAGAGGGTCGGACTCGCTTGACGCGCGAGTTCGTTCGGTGTGGTGCTGATGAGTAAAAGGACACACAAAGAGAGAAAAACGGCACGACCTGCCTCGTGCATCATGCGGTTTATTGGTTTCGCCGCGATCTACGGCGGATGCTGTCGGAGATCGGTGTCGTGTTGATTTCCAAGTGTACCCTGAAATGGTGATAATCCACCCGGGTATACCCGTTTCTGGTTACTTCTCAAACACGCGCCTGCCTAGCCCCCCCCCCCCCCCCCCCCCCGTTTCAAAGGCCGCCCCCCCCCCCCCCCCCCTTAAAACC